ATGGAGGTTTAATGGAGGTTTTTTAAGACAGCCAAGAAAGTGGCAAAGGTCCAGATCTTTCCAAATATTTAATTAGCAAATAAAAGTAGTAATAAAAAAAATCATTTGGGGGAAGAGCAAGTCATTTAAAGTGGATCTAGGTGAAACTAGGACCCTCTCTTGTAAGGGGAATCAGTGACTTGCAATAGAGCAGTTTATTCCCTTTAGCTTTTTTTTTTTTTTTTTTTTTTTTTTTTACTAAGGGTTAGGGGGAGAGAACAAGAATCACTGTATATATGTCTGGTAATTCTTCACTGGTGAAAATAGAAATAATTACATTATTCTGGGAATATTTATTGAAATGTGTTTTACTGTCTTCTCTGATGGATGGAAAATATAGGAGGGTTACTTTGTTATGCATTGTAAAATGGTGATGAAATAACGGCTTCAAATTCTGTTATTTATGTTGGCAGTGAGAAACATAAATCGTTGAGATCTGTGTATCCGTACCAAAGAAAAACCTAGCAACGAGTTGCTGGTTGTCAGTCAACATTTTCTCCCCCTTTCTATGTGTCACTTGTGATGTAATGTCATTCTGTTAAGTGGGAACCTCTAGCTCTAATTAGATGCGACAGAACTTAAAGGCTACTCAGAAAATTGTGCTGGGATATTTGTTACAGGCATTAAGGCTATTTTAAAGAGAATGTTTTTGGGTAATATTAAATAATCTGCTATGACATGCAAATTAAGCTTCACTCCATCTCTGAGTCTTGAATAAACAAAAGTTAAATATAAAATTACAGAATTATGCCTTCTAGTATTATATAGGGAAGTCACCTAAGAGCTGAGAATGTTGAGTGCAAAAGTGGTAAAGTAACCACCAGAATTAGACCAAAAATTGTACCTGAACAATTATTTAGGCTCTTCCCTACTTTCATCGCTGCATTTTAGTTTAGAAAATTTTGCTTTTCCTGTTTTGGAGGTGATACAAAATATGTGGATGAGAGCCTCTGTGTCAGGCGCTTCACTTGCTTTGGCCTAAATTTTATCTGACTCGGGATAATGCAAGCAAGATTTCATTCAGTCATTCTTTTGTTTTCCTTCTCATGGATTTCCACTGTATTTCAGTGGGTACGTAGAAAAATATTTCTCAGTTGCTAATGAGTGATTCCAGTATGTTGATGAGAAAGATACTGTGGGGTAATTTAACTAAGATTTTTAAAAACACTTTCCAAGGGAGAAGCTGAAACTCGAACAGCAGTTTTTCCCTCCAGTCAAACGAATGGTATGATGCTGGTTACCTATAGAGTGGTAGCAAATAAAGCTTAACTAGCTCCCTGCTGTGGCTGATGCCTTGAGGTCTGTGTTGTGGTCTGGCAGCCTCCCTGCCCCGTACATGGGTGCTGGACTTGGGCTGTGGGCTGGGTGCTGGAGGGAGCAAGGGGCTCTGCTGTATGTGGCAGCAGCTAGACTGGGTCTGGCCTTTGCCTGCACAGTGCAAACCAGACCGTTGCTTCAGGGTTTCTCTTTTGTGTACTTTCCTTTTCAAGCTATCATGGGAATACTATTACAAATACAATCCTTGAGAGAAACTCTGGCCCTGGAATTCAACAGGGCTTGCAGTTATCTGGAGCATGGCCAGGGTTTCACCACGTAATTAACTATAAATGGTTTAAGAGAATATACTTAGCAATGACCTAAGGTTCTTCTAGAACCCCTTACTTCATAACTTCTGCTTCACATGAGCTTTTGCAGTTCTCTTTCAAATGTACAGGAAGCACCTTGTGTTCTTGTCACACTTCTGTACATCAGCACTTAAAGGCAACTAGTAAATAGCAGGCATTACAGAGTAACATGACAACATGATTCGCGTCAGTGCTGGCAACAGAATGTTAAAACTGCCTGGGACCCTTCGCTCAGGTCAGTCTCTATCACTGCATTGAAATGTAGCTTGTGCAGCTTTTTTTTTGAGACTGTAAGAGATAGTGAGACTGACCATCTGTGCTTCCAGCCCTTACAAATGTTAGGCTAACTTCTACAGAAAAGGAAAAAGGACTCCTTCAAGGCACACTACTTCGTACATCCTAACGTTCTTGCGGGTGTATGGTACAAAGCAGGAGCTCCGGGAAGACCCAGCCCTGTTTGGTACGCTGGCTGGCACAGCAGCGAGGACAAGCCACACAACATCAGCTTGTTTCATACACTGCCCTTCCCCTACCTTACAAGGCTCTGAGAAGAGATGCAGATGGTAGGTAAAACTTTTCATGGGAAAGCCACGTTTACCTGAAGGAGCCTCATTCTGAGTAGGGCTGTGTCCAACTTGCAAGACCCCCGGTAGGGACGTGTTTACACTGCCTAAGGAGTTCATGTGGTGGCATTCAAGCAGCCATCACCATTGTTAATGTTACCTTTGGCTACGCAAAGTTATACTTAGGACTGCTATTTTTTTTTTTTCCTTTCAGCATAGGTATTGTAAAGATTAAAAAAAAATGTAGATTGGACTCAGAGATGATTCATAATAAAATGCAGCTTGGTGGCATTCTTCAGTGGTAAAAAACAGGGCACGTGCAGTGTTTGGGAGGACATGGCAATCAAGGCCAGGGTGACTTGGAGGAGCACGTGTGACACTGTGTAAAAGCTGTTCCTGGGGGCAGGGCTTGCCTCGCATCCTGCGTGGCCTGGTTTTGTGTATTTTAACATCAAGTTGTTACATTTGTTGCTGAGAAGTTTATACTTGAAGCCCTAATTGTAAGATGATCCCTCAAATCTGATTTTGTTTTGTTTAGTTTTTTAATCTTCTATGCTGTTACTTTGCAGAGGAGCTCTTGTTTTGCTTTTGTTAAGTCAAAGGAAAGGGTAATGGTGTGGGAACCTCTGACAGGTTTCACAGTTGTGCATTTTACCTTTGTGCTGATGGAGTGAAGGGCAGCTCTGGCAACAGAAAAATCATTTTGTATTAGCACTGTTGCTGGAGGAGATCTAGAATGGTGCGTTTGGATGCAAGTTTTCTTCAATGTGACAGTGAAGTGGACCAGCTGGGTGCCGTACGTGGCTGCTGAGCAAAGGCAGAGCTGATTGCCTATATATATATATATATATACACCTTGTGTGGTTTAGGAGGAAACAAAGCACATGCAAAGAGAAACTTGATTTTTTTGCATTCAAGCCAACTATTACCAAACGCTTCTGTTCTATATTAGATGTATTTTGAGAAATGATGGGGGGAAACAGTTGTGTACTCCAAGCAAAATTTATTAGAAGTCTACTCAAGGAAAAAAAAAGGAAAACAAAAACAAACAAACAAAAAAACTCCAAAAAACACAGAGACCTTTTGCTTGTAAGAATTCCAAGTCAGTCACCTGAAAGCCAGGTATGAAAAACTTGTATTTTTTTTTTTTTAAATCAGATACAGAGTAGAAACAGTACTTTTTAAATATCACAGGCAATAGATATTTAAGTCTTCAATCATAAATGGCATCAAAGATAGGTATTAATCTCACAGCAAAGCTGCATGCAGATCTAATTTAAAATTGAACGCCTTTGAAATATAAAGCTTTTGCCATGAAATCTGCAATAATAAAGGTATGCTGCACAAAGATGTTTCTTTACCTTTGTCTTAATGACATCTCTGAATAATAAAGACATATGTACATTTAGATTTGGCTGGTAAACCATATTTTAATTAATAAAATTCTGCATAAAATGCTATTTTACAGAATTGCACTACCCAGATGTCCTTATGGTAAGTGGGGCAAGAAAAATGCACTGAAATATTTTGTATGTGGAAAAGGGCAAAGATCAAATAAGGAAATTATTTTTTTTAAATCAACAACAAAATGGCTCTGTACAAAAAAAAAAAGCAAAGCAAACATATGTACAAAATGCTACAGAGACTAAATACATTTTGATAATTTCAGTTCTTTACCCACCATACAGAAATACAGAAAAAGCTTTTGCCATCTATAAGGTGCTGAAGAAACCAAATCTGATTTTTTTTTTTTTTTTTTTTTTTTTGTATAAAGCCATAGTCATCATCACCGTGTGCCTTAATTTCACATATTATTTATGCTTACCTTTAAGGAAAGTGTATGTTTTCAAATACTTGTTTCATTCAGGAAAAACAAAACCTAAAATGTATCAGTTTCAATACTTGTGATTTTTTTTTTTTTTGGTACTAAATTCCTAAAAAGAATGCGTAACTCAGGTTTTGTTAACATATATATGCAGTGAAATAAAATCAGTACATGATACTTGTGAATATTTTTCAGGTGGCTATGTTAGAAAACATTGCACTAACACTGTTTACATCCTGCTTAAGTCATGTGATACATTAAAAAAACACTAAACTCTCACACTTCATGTTGCTGACTATTGCAACATTTGGATTACAACCATTTAAAGTCAGACATCAGTAGCAGGTTATTATAGTCTATGCTTATATCCTTGCCTGTCTCTTCATTAAATCCTGCTTACCAAGGTTTCAGGCCTCTTGCACTTTCTTACCTTTTAACAAAAAACACTACTGCTTTTTGGGGGGGGAGCGGGGCGGGAAAGAAAAATGGCTTAGCCAACACCATTGCACCCATTCAGGACACTTCCAGTTCCCCTCTTTTTCACTATGCTTGCTTGAGATTTTACAATCACTGTGCATATGTTACAACATAACAAGTGCAGGCAAAAAAAAACTCTATTATAATTTTTCATACAATGTAAACCAGTACAATAGGCAAACTTGTGATACAGCAAAGTGAAAGTAACATAAGCTGCCAAGCTAAAAAGAATTTTGAAATTCAAACAATTTTTTTAATAGTAAACAGCAACTTCCCCTCTCTAACGTGTGCATGTTGAAAGTATGTTTTTTTTCCCCATTACACTAGCAAGTTCCCCCACCAACATTAGTACCACTAATGCTCCAAACAGAAACAGCCCACCCCAATCCCTCATGGCAATTCACCTGTGCACCTGTCATCAGGCTTCTCCTATTTTCGTGTCTCAAAAATGTTCAAAGTAACATATACTTAAATGTTGAAATGCTTCCTCTTGTTTCAGCAAAGTTTAGCTATTCGCGCTGCAGTCGTTGCTGTAATACTGCTGGGAGCTTTGGCGGATGGGATGGGATGGGGATGAGCTGGGTGGCTTCTATTTGAGACTGCAAGCAAGAAAACAGCAGGCCTGTGTAGCATGTTTTCTAGCAGCTTTATGCAGATGTGTTGTAGAGATGCAGCATAAATAAGTAGGGGAAAAAATTCACAGCCTCTTGACATAGTTTCCAGGGAAAGTACCAAAGAATTTGGTTCTTCTTGAGGTTCCTGAAATTAGAAGCAATAGATGAAAGACGGGAAACAACAGGAAATCACTAGGCAAGTGTGTGGTTATTTTTATTTTTATTAATATTTTGCAAGTGGTAAAAATATTTATTGTCCTTACAACTTAGTTACTTTGAATTTCATTCTAGAGTTGTGAATTTTAGTAAGTTGCAGCCGTGGGAAGGAAAAAACAAATAGAAGAGGCATATCTGATTCAGATGTTCTGTCTGATTAAAATCTGGAAAATCATTTCATTTATTCAATTACAACTGACAGTGCTTAATGTGGATTTTTGAAGTGCCATGAACTACTAAGACAAAAAAAAGTTAGCCAGAGTGTATATGAAAGTTTGTGATTGAGCCACTTTGTTTCTAGACATACTTGTGAAACCTGCATGTGTTTAGCAATACTTGGCTCTCAGAAATAGCTAAATCTGTAGAGGTATTAAAGTGAGTAAGTTTTACATCACCAGTCTTAATGGAGATGGGCAGAATGACGTGCAATTTGTTTTGTGTCTCGTGAGAAGGACAGCAGAGCTTCTCCACAAGCTGGGGGCACACGGCAATTTGTGGCCATTGGTTCCAAAGTATCCACTACTTTCAGTGGATTTTGGTTGAGGGTCAGGTTAATTATACTGAATACAAAAATTAATTAGGTTATAAGATATCAAACAAACTGAGGACAGCGAAAATAATGAATAAAACACAAATGAAAAAGCAGCCAAATTAAAACATACCCACAAACCAGCCATCATCACATTTTTCCATCACATCAATGACATCTCCCTCTCTGAGCTCCAATTCATCTTCATTCCTAGGAGTATAGTTATATAGAGCCTGAAACCTTAAATAGGACAAATGATGCATTTTAAAAAAAAAGTAAAAGTTTTTTGTATCTCTGCTGAAGTAGAAGAGCTGATTCAGACATTAAGTGACACTTAAACCCCTTTCCCCTGTTTGTATTTTGCCTAGTGGACGAGCCAGGCTAGGTCTGTTCTGTAGCAAGTGTCCTGCTCTACCTGAAACATACCTCAGCAGCCACGAAAGGCTGGGGCTGACTGCTCCTCAGCTGGTCCATTTGTTAAACGGGCTGGTTAAAACGCAGACTAATATCTTGCAACAGCATTATTTTATAGCTGAGCCCCTGGCAACTATGGGCCAGCCTCTTCCCTCCCATCAGCAACACCTGCCAGAACGCAGAGCTTGCAGTCCAAGCACTCTGTCACACGGGCACCAAAGAGATGGGGCACTTAAGAGCACTGCATGTAAAAGCAGTGCCTACTTCTTGTGGGGAACGTGCTGGGTAATTGCTACTGGACAACCAGAGGTGGCTTTCGGAAGTTGTCCTTTTGCACTGTACAAGTGGCCAGAAACAACGTGATGGGCCATGAACCCCGTCTTGAAAGCTGAAGAAAGGAGGCACCTTCCAGGTTTGTTGCTCTCCTCAGGCAGGCTTCCCTGGAGCTGCCACCTCGCTGGCAGGCCCTCCTCTCCTTGCCCTGTGCTTTTTTCCTTATATATCCTATCTTGGGAACGGGACAAAATGTGAGCCAAGTACCTACCAGATTCAAACACATGATCTGTCTAAAAGGAAGAGAAACTGTTGGGTAGCAAAAGAGTGTGAAAGGGGAAAAAAAAATCTGGGAAAAAAAATCCCAGAATCTCCTATCTCTCGGGGGCAGACAAAAGGAAAATAGGTGAACTGAGCAGGTGGAACAAGATACTGTCCCTAGTGTGATGTGCACTTTCTCACAATAACAAACCATGAGTAGGGAAATTCTCTCTTGGATATAAAGGCTACCATACAAAAATTATGTATGGAGTCCCTACAGAGGGATGCTAAAAGGAGGAACAGTTGCAGAGCATGTCTGAAAGGTTGAATACCTGAGACTACACCTGCTAAGAGGAGCTGAAAACACACCTGGTTGAGTTCTTTGACATCCTCCCCAGAACCAAATTGGAACAGAGCAAACCCTGAGTGAGCGAGCGGCTTCAGTTACGTGCCGTAAGAGGGGAAATTCAGACACTATTGACAGAGTTTTCTCCCTCCCACTGAAGACTGAAGAGGGATGCAAGGTGGAAAAATGGAAAGAGATTATGAGACTACCAAAGTTGTTGTTATTCATTTTGTGTTGGGTTTAGTAGAGGTTCTTGGAAATGAAAGAATACCAGTAGGTGCTGCGTTTCCCCAGGTTCAATAGAGCTCTTGGCAAGCAGCCCCCGTCTCCGCAAAAGCCGTGAGCGCTGCCGAGGCAGAGGGAGGCAGCTCTGCCCTGGCTAGGGCTGCTTGCCTTAGCACACAACTGTGTAACTCTGACAGGTGAATAATCATCAGTTCAAAATACCAAAACACACCATCATCATCATGATATTTTTTTTTTCCCTGTAACAGTTCACTGACTTTAAAACTTAACATTACTTTTCCCTCCCTCTAATATAAATAAAATTAAAGCATTTTTTTTTTCTTTGATCAAACAGTTTGGTACAGAATATTTGAATTGGCTCTGTTTCATTAGGCAAGTTTTAATTTGCTTTAACAAGACTTTTCTTTATATAATAAATTCCTGATCCTGAAAATCCCCTTGTAAACTTATATATCATAGCCCATACTAAGCTCAGTGTAATGATGATTCTCTTGAATAAAAGATGCTTATTTTTCATGTTGCTGGTTTTGAGAAACAAGAGACTGTTTGAAAGAAAATGCAACTTTTAACTCAGGTTCTCATAACTAGCAGTTACCCTCCCCAAATCTGAGAAGTCTAACTTAAATCTAACTACGTACAGGAGCTACAGGTGCAATGTGTCATAAATTAGTTATTAAAATACAACAATGAGAATTGCCTTATTAGCACTGTTTTTACTTCAGAAATCTAAGTTATTTCCATCTAATCCTTTCCTAGGCACTTCAATCTGATAATACTTTTTTTTTTTTTTTTTAAACATGAAAACTGCCATTTGCAATGCTGACCAACCAAAGAAGGGTTGGTTGGCAATTTAAATATATTTCTATTTAGTTGTTTAGACATAAATTAGTTCAGTCATATACTAGTTTGAGACTATGTTGAACAAAATTATTTGGATAATTATGCCTACAAAAATAGAAGTGGAAACTTCAGTATGTCCAAAGGCACTGGACAGAAGCTTGAGAGAAATTTTCTGTGAGATCAAAACCAAAACATCTAATTTTCATTAACTATTATCTGTGGTCTAATTCCTCCCTTGCCCTTCTCCCTTGACATTTCTTTAAGTTACTAACAGCCAGAATTCTAAATAAACCTTAATTACACTTAGGAGATTTCAGCCAGTAGGGCCGATTCCAGAGCACTGAGGCTAGTTCAAGGATGGCTATTGATTGCAATGATAAAGGAAGTGAGACCAAAAATTTTGCCCTGTACTTACGTAGTAAGCACCCAAATACCATTACTTATTTTATGTCAAGTGTTTATTTTGTTCTTCTCAATTTTTGAGGTTTCCATGCATCTACTTTTGCAACATTATCCATTTATTTTTCAATTATCATCCATAACTGTTTCTGAATAATTTGTACCAAGTCAATGAAGTAGATGATCTGAATTAACATTAAATCTTTAACTGGCATTTTACTGGAAACTAATAATGAGCAGATCAAAAAGTCACATGTTACTTTTTGCCTACAGTGGATGCACATCACGATGATGATGCCCAGGCTTTAGGCTCTGGGGCCTCCTTAAATATCTTCCTACGTCATGCAGTTATCTGTGATTCTCTAAATCTCTTCATGATTGTACTTGGCAGATGAACAAATTATTTGAAGAGGTAATGGCTATTGTTTAAATGTTAGGTATTTGGTTTAGTAGACAAGAAGTATACTTACGGTTCCCCCCCAGTGTGTATGTTTTCATGAGCAAACACAGGGCGCTGTGGCTGAAATGAAATGATTTGAAATGTGATAAAGATATATAGTTTGAATTTCAAGTAGCTGGATAGCGGCCTGACACCGTCTCTTGAGAGCTCATATTCTACGCTGTGTAAAGCCAACAACCCCTACAACATTCTTATGAGACAAGGCAGGCAACAGAACCTTGCAGGCTTAAAGGTAAGATTTTTGGACAATATAACAAAGACTAAAACAAAATTGTACTTGATCTATTTGTACGATAGTAAAAACTCAGCATAGACCCTACTACCTCTTCACTAATACAGAAATAAAATCTGCTATACTTAATGGCAGAGTTTAGAATATCCATAGACAAACAACATGCCAATCTACGTTACCCACAGAAAGTATTAACTTGGCAGGTGTATCATGCTATGCTGTAATTGATACTGTTTGATCTGAAGGGGGAGCACAAAGTCATGCAGGCTGTTGGGAGGCAAAGAGCAGAAAATTTTTGAAAGAACACATGTAATTGTGTGAAAACAATTAACACTTTTACTTAAGAGGAAAAAAAAAGGTATGTATTTCCAGTGCACAGTTAGGAAAAGAACTATTTTCATTCTTAATTGAACACCATCACTAACATCTCAGAAATCTGGTAGTGACAGAAATGAAACATATTAACCTCCTAGGGAAAGCCTGTCCTGCTTAGAAAGCCATTGACTAACACCCATTAGAAAGAACAGCGGAGCAGCTGCCTGCAGGAGCCCCTCTGGGTGGGGACTGCATTCCTTGCTGCCCGAGGATGCCCCCCAGTCGTACGAGACACTGAGAACTGCATCCGCTCTGGCAGCGTGTAGCTCAAGCGGAACACATACCACTTCTTTTGCTTTTCACGAACTAAGAACTGCAACCTGATCTTGATGCCATGGAATTTGTCTTACTGCTCTACACTTTGTCTTTTCTTGGACTACTCCAGTAAATTTTGCTTCAGGTTACGCTTAAAAATGATGCAGTCTTCCATGAGAAAAGGCCATGATAACTAACCGTGGAAATTAAATATTAAAATGCAATATGTTGCTTTTTTCCCCCCAGCATTCCCAGTTGAGGTATTTAAATTCTTTTAATGATGTTTCAGACAACACTGAATATTCTCCACTTCACCTTTACAGTCTGTAGAATATACTTTTAAAAATGGTAGAGCGCTTAATGATGCGAGCTGGTGAACGGCAAAATTTTTTATTAATGAGAACTAGGAAAGTTTTGGAAAGTGTTCTTTTTTTTGTTTGTTTGTTTGCTTCTTTTTTTAACCTTTTGACTATCTCCTAGTGTCTTTCAGACAGTTCAGTTCCTGGTAGACATCCTTCAACAGTTGGCTTGTCAAGTAAGAACAAAATATTTCACTGGGCAGATTGCTTGGTGTTTGGATTCAAATCTGACCTTATTCTCTGCTGATCTTTCATCAGGTCTGTAACTGAGCTAATGCCAAAGATAGTCAAAGATACCAGAGAACTCAACCGAGGCTACGGATCTTCTTGCAAACAGTGAAAGTCAACATCCTAAGCGGTATTACAAATGACTTAATGGTTTGAACATGTATCGTGTTGAGAAGAAACAGGATAGGTCAATATTATACAATTAAACAAATAATTTACAATTAAAATATGAAATGTTTTATTGCTAGCTAAGTACTGTTATTAACAGTAGACAGATGATAGAAAGTCAAAGTGAGTGAAGATTTTCAACTTCATGTTATAGCTACAGAGAAAAATGGCAAAATTAGAATCTGGGAGATCCAGAGTAGAATTGCCTGTGCTGTGTCTAAACAGTGAGACCCTGCAGCATTCTCTTCATCTGAATTCATGCCTAGATACTATCCCAGCTCATATCAAGAAGCCTTCTCCACATCATCTTTTCCTTCTAAGCTCTCACTCCTGCACACAGTGGTAGTGGCTGGAAAGGGACTATTGCAAGTCTTGGTTAACTGTGCTGAGGAGATAACCATGAAATGTCTCCCCCCATGGAAACTTTGGTGCTTAGGATTTCTAACGTCAAATATCGTTCAGTTCCTGAGCTCAGTTCATGTTTGATAGGTAGGAATCTTAGGATTTTAGGGTCCTACCTCCAAAATGCTTAGTGGAGCATGGTCCCCATTGCACACTTTCCTCCTTTTTTTTTTTTTTTTTCCCCCCGCATGATAATAGTGTGTTCATGTAGAACAACCTTTTATGTTCCTGAACATTTTGTGTGTACAGCGGGACTCTAGTTTTGTAATCAATTTGATGGAGGCAGTTAATATGGATCCATACAGTTCCCCTGAAGTACTGGTGGATATTGATCATTTGAAGTAACATCTGCCATCCATGCAAAACTAAAACAGGGCTTATTCCCGTTCTTGTACCGCCTCGGTATTTCTCTGGTTGTGATGGTGAATACATGAATCCTGGCCTGCCTAGCACTGAATTTGCTAAGTGATGGAGAAAACAGTGCCCTCTCATACCTGGTAGCAAACAAAAGCCTGCCAAAAAATTTACAGGTCTTTGAGAGTTAGAAAAAAATGCTTATTTTAAAGAAAACATTTTAAAAAGGGAGCAAACAGTAAGACAATACCCCTAAATCAGCAGTGACTACATGGAAAATATTTTGTCCTGTTATGTTTTAAGGGCCAAAAGTTAAGAAAGAAATGCAGAAAATAATTTAGTACCAAAGTGAAAGTAAACTATAGCGATACACTCTTACTTTCATAAAGATCTTCTTGCATATTTTTGCATAAGACTTTTGAGGTAAACACATACAAATGCTATAGCCTAAACTTCAGGCTTGTTATTGTATTACGGAATTGTTACAGTTTCAGGCTGCTGTGAAAGGAAAGGCTGAGGGGTATGACAGTCTGGAATAGCAGCGTTTGGAGAAAAAGGGCAGTGGCAAGTGAATACAACAGAGATTACCATAGCAACAAAATATTTTGAAAAGAAGGACATGCATTAAAAAAACAAGAATGTAGCTTTGCAAAAGCCTGTGTACATGCAATGAATTATAAGTCTTTAACTACCGGATAGTTTTAATAAACTAGAAATACTTTGAAACAAGAGGATCCATTTAGGGAAAAAAAAAAGGCAAAGTCATATAAAGAATTGACCTCATAATGCTTTTCTAGCACTGGAAATACTATGTAGTACTGCAGATATACAATACATTTACAGAATTGTAACATACATTTTGGCACACACTGTTGGCTTTACTGAGACATAGCATGGAAGCACAACAGGAGCAAAACAAGGTATATTGATAGTATTCAGACACTGGGACAAAAGCAGAATGCTGAAGGACTGGACACGGAGCTGCTTTTATATGGAAACGCTGTTATGCACACTGGGCATACAGAGCCATACCCTGTGGGAATAGCTGTGACCTCTGACAGGGGAGCTGTAGGATCTCTTAGTCATCAGAGGGCTACGAGGAGGTTTACCCATAACAAATATCTCTCTCTTTAAATCAGCCTAGAGAAATCATAAAAACGGAGTCAGCTGATAGCTTCAGTAAGAAGCACCACGGGATTTCTGCTGCTTCACTCCTATGTGCACACTGGACATGCTTTTCTTGGTAACGACAGGCAAGCGTGTTACAAGCGCAAGTAAGGAGTAGTGCTGTTAGGACATGGCATTTTCATTGTTGCAGCAGTATCTTTTGTCTTTCCAAGGGTTTGCTGCTCTGCCACATACACTTGTACTGTTAAAAGATTAATCACACTCAGTGCATTTGGTGTAAAAACTACCATGGCAAATGTATCCACTGATGCAACCCAGTTAGTTAATAATGCAGAAAGCACAAGAGCAAAAGGGTGAAAGACCGTAGGTGTCTTAAAAGTACCAATGATAACTGTTGCAGTTCATATCTGCTAAAAAGACACCAAACTTTATTCACCTTCTAAATACATGTTTTAGTACTTGATGGAAAGTACTTTAAAAAAAAAATCCAGTTTTGTTAACACCACTGTTAAACCAGCTAAGTGTTTGACAAAAGTCAGCACTTAAGGAGATGTGAGCCAAATAGGGAGTGCTGAGATTGGAAAACTCTTCTTTGGATTTTGTGACTATTTGCAATATGCCAATAGAAAAGAACAAGCCCCTTTTAGGAGCAGGGAGGGTGAAGAAAAAAGGAAAGGAAAACCAAGGCAGTGGACAAAGAGGCAGGAAAACATTGCACGTCACTCCTGCCATCACAGAGGAGGGTGCAACTCCCCATTACTGTCCAGAGGCATGCTTTAGGTTTGAGCAATTTCCAACTACACATACATGTACATAAGTATGTGTATGTATGCATGTATGTGTATACATATGTATGTGTAGTTGGAATATATCTAAATACACTTTTTTACAATAACAAAAAGAAACAAGATATCATTTTACAGTTTAATTTTAAGAGCTCTCTGAACAACTTCCTTTTCAGTTGTGATAGCCAAGTCTTGGAAATGTCTCTCATGTTCTTTCTGTTCTAATAGTTGTGATGAGATTTTAATCATGACTTTATCATAAAGTAGTTAGTGGACAACATGCACAAGCAGAAAGGAATAGGAATGGTCTATATTCATTAAACTTAGAGAGGAAACTGTTCCCCAGGCTTCAGAAATAATCGGAATGGGATTTTCTTTGCTTTGAAAATGTGTTGAAAAATAGAGAATTAATAGCTAAATAGAACTGTATAATAGAAAACCCCGGACCTCTCGTTCTTCTCAGTACCCAGGCTCTAGTGTACGCAGATGGCCTCAGCCATGTCCCTTGGTTACCTGTGCGCCTTTGCTCCCACCATGGCCAACAGAGAACAACACACCTGGCGCTGAGGTTCCCCAGGACCCGTGAAGGAGCCAGTGATTGTATTCATTTTCATCCTGGATTGCCATGCCTTGCTCAAACAAGGACAGGGAACATCAGGATCACTTAAGGGCTTTCGGTACTTTTTTGCTAGATGAGATTTTGTGAATTTTTTTGATTAGATTAAGAACACCCTCAAAAGAACTGCACAGCTAATTATTCAGAATTTCAGAAACAGATACAACAGTTTGTTTTACTACAAAAAAGAAGGATAAAACATTCCTAGTCCATGATAAATTCATCATGTCAAGAACCTTTGCATCTTTTCCTTCCTTAGGAAAAAGTCACCAAAATGGTGATTCTTAAGATTTCTTTATGTCTACTACATATGGGTTTTGCATTAACACACAATTTTGTATGGTATATTTTTCAAGAAGCATGTGTTTTTGCTACATATTGAGGATTATTTTTGATAATCTTTCATGCTTTTTACAGAGCTTGCTTTCCTTTTCACAAAAAAGCGACCTGCTTGAAATCTGGAACTGTCCCTCTAGAAACAGAAATTCAGTTTGGGTCTAAGCTCCACTGGGAATTCACTCTGTCTACCTAGAAATTGATTTGTCTCTCTCAAGATTATTATTTTTTTCTTGGCCCAGAGTTGCAATGTTGATACGAATTGTGGCTGTGAAGAGGCAATAATCCTTGTTCAGTCCTTGGCTAACAGGATTGGTATTTAGTGTATTACTTTGCCTAAGCGTTATCTTGAAACTCAAAATGCTTTTAAAGTACAAATGTCACTAAGGTTCATGTGCTTGAATGAGGTTCTGTTTCCTTGAATTAAGTAACAGTTAGGAGTGAAGGCCTGGTAGAGGACGAGTTGAGTTGATGACATGTCCTATTAGTAGTATCTCTGAAAGTTATTTCGTTGTATATAATGGTTTTAAGTTTTCCCTCATTTTTCATTTGAAGAAAGCCTATCACAATATTCCATGTGCTTACGTTATTCAGTATTAGTAATGGAGACAATATATCTGAAAAGATCAAACTCAGTGTTAGCCTTATTAAACATACGTGAAGACTTGCAGCAAGCCATATTCCAAATGGGGAGTTTACCTTCAACGGTGGTGAGTCTTTCTCCTGCTGGTGTGAGAGTTCAAAAAGGAGAAGAGGTGAGGGGGAAGCAGCAGACAGGGATGTAGGAACAGAGTGAGGAGCTGGTGCCTTGGCAGAGTGAAATGCATGATTAGAAGAAAAGGTGTAAAGGAGGCCCAGACTTTCCTGATCCTCCCTCCACCTCCCTAGAAAGAAGGGCTGGCTTAAACATTTAAGAAAAAGGGGGAGCAAGCGTGTAGTAAACTCAGCTGTGAAGGACATTTAATGCACTGTGAGGAGTCATGCAACTAACATGAAGAGTCAGAAATTTAATACTACTTTTATTTTTAGTCAGCCTACTATTTTTGGAGAAAATCCTGCCCTCAGAACGCAACACAAGTTGCTATTAATGGCCCTGGATTTCTGTTTTTATTATTTTCTCTTGGCTTCTCACAGTCCTTGTCTTCAGAGAATACACTGATTTGCTGCTCTTCCACTCAAGTAAAGGTACAGGAGCCCTGCAAGACCTTTGCAATTGAAACTGGTTTCATGTTCTGCCTGGACATGTATTATTCTATTTGATTTAGCTATTTGTATGTGCCAAGCAAATTAATTGCCTGAACAGTCCAACTGTTGAAATAAACGCTGGACAGCAAAAATGTGTTTTAAAACTCTGCTTAGAAACCACACATGGTTTGTAGCAGTGTAGTGGCATTTAGCAGCTAGCACACGTTTGGCTTAGTTCAGTGCTGTGCTGTCCAAAAGAGGGACTGGGGAGGGCTGTAGGGAGAAGCATTTCTTCAACTGCCAACTATAATCCATCTAATCTGTTATTAATAGACATTCTCATAACAGAATCGATCATAAATATATCAGCTGCTGAACTGACACATGTGAGGTGTGAACTACTGGGTCTCTGTGGGAGACACGTCTCTCCCTCCCTCTGAAAAGTGCTAACAGGATTTGCTTGCTGAGGCCTCGCACCTTGGAAGGGGTGGCACATACTAGGCCAGCAAGGAGAATGGTTCCCTGGCTCTTCCCATTGGAGTTTCGATAGTAGCTGACAGGGTCAGAGGCAGAGGAAGGGAGCAGCAGAAGCAGGACACCACGGAGCTTACAGTGGTGTTTACCTCTCCTTCCCGAGATGTGCAGGGTTTGACACTTGGCCTAACCCTGACAATCTTTATCCAATGCACTGTTATAAAGATAAAGCTGTGCATAACACAAACACAGAGAAAAAAATTATAGGAACACAGAAGCCACGTGACATCAAAATACCTTATCAGTATTTGGTGATGCATATCCTTCATCATAAGCCATCGTGTCTCCTCTGCTTCCTACTGGAAATTCTAGATTGTCATGTCTCTGATCCTCCTCTATATAGAGACGTGGTAATGTTTCTGTTGTGTCTTGTGCTTCTCTGCAGAAGTCTGATTCTTGAGGCTTTGACTGATCCCCTATGTTAACTGACAGGTTTCCTGTACTGATTTCCTCTTCATGTTCAGCCGCTGCATCTAACACTCTGGGGATGGAGCCACCTTTATGTGGCAGAGGGACATCAGAAATGGTGCCAACACGGTCATGTTCTCCTGCAGTATCTGACAAATCTCTAGTTACTTTGGTAACTGAAGAGCCACGTATCCCTTGCAAGTCTTTCTCATTTCTTGGTTTGGTATTGCTGCTTACACAGTTATGTGCTGTGTCATGAGATGAGCTGGCTAAAGATGGCACAGACATAGGTAAGAGAAAGGGCTGAGGAAGAACTACAGGAGAGTTGAGAGGGACCTCTGTATGTGGAATAAAACGATCATCCTTAATGTGGTGAATGAAATTATTTGGGGCAATTGCTGCAAGTCGGGACGCTGTTAAGGTGAAGGAACTGAGTTCTTCTGCATCACAAAGAAAAGTGTCTGGAACTGGTGGAGGAGGAGGTGAGGTGCACACGCGTGAAGGCGAAAAGTCAAGAGTCCGTGAAAACCGGTCACTAGTAGCAGCCTGCAGGAAGTTTTGATCAGCATGTGACCAAGAGGAGGAACGGTATCTGGGAAGTGGGGGCAGTGCTTGAGAAGGCAACTTTAAAAATAAGAAACGCATGGGAATACGCATTTAAATAAATAGATAAGTATGACAGACCTAAGACACGAGGAGCCTGGGAAAGAAAAATCCCTGCTGTTTGGATTGTAGAGTATCATTTCAGTCAGCACGAGTGTCTGAAATCATTAGTACATGAATCAGAACAGCAGAAAAGATATTTTAAAAGTGAAACTGTATCAGGTTCTGGCTTGCAGCTTAAATGTCAAACACCAAGACAGATCTGAATCATTACATTCATGAGGGCAACCTGCATTTGATCTGCTGGAGTTATGTTATCTATGGCGCTCTTGTAGTAAGCTTGTCACAAGTTATTAAATCATAGAACTGAAATTAGTATAGTTTTCCCCAAATCATTACTATTATTTTGAGAATACCAGTATTGTTATTTTGAGAATAACAGAATTGCCCTGTGTTATTGAGTAGTTTTTTAAGCTATAACTGGGGTGATTTCTCATTATCCTACTATTAATATTTGCACTTTTTCTGAGTACATGTTTAAGAAACATCTTAAATACATTGCATACTTTTATCATGGCACAAATAGCTACAGAATGCATTTTTCTTTAGAAGTAACTGTTAGTTCAAAATGACATCAGTGTTTGTGAAAGACACATTCAATTCCAAATGAATGTAGGCAGCCAACAATGCTTTTAAAATAGCGACAGCACAGTATAACAGCAGTGTATTTTGAGTACCGTTACATAACATTGATTGAAGTATCCTTCTGGTAAAAGAAATGTCCTTTTGTAAGAATGAAAGACTGGTGAGTCATACGTACACAGCATCAGTAGATATCCATTGCTTCAGTAAATACTGAAATTGTATTTTTGTAACTATTAATCTTCAAAATTAAAGTTGAGCAGAAAATATTTTGATCTCATTATTAAAATTATCCCAAATAATTAGGTGCACATCTCTCTGTTATCTGGACTACTTCAGATTTTAGGTATGGCTCTAGACTGGGACAATAACTTCAGAAAGCTAAATCAACAGTACAGAATGGGAAGAAGATTAGGTAACTTACCTTCTCCTGGAGCTTCCTAGAGGCAGATAGCTTTACTTTAAACCTACAGAAATCCTCTGTGCCAAAGCATCCACACTGATACAGTGCAGTCTGGTAAAACAGTAGCCTGTTCTAGCTAATAATCTTTTTCTCTTCATCTTTTCTCTTGAGCAACTGCCTACAGCCTGTGGTTTTTAGGTTACAATACTGGCCAGGAGATGTTCCCATTTTCAATTTGCCATGGCTACAAGCTGCATTAGAGCTGAAGTCATAGATGTTCTGGTCCACATTCAGTAGAGCAAAGCTTGCTCTTTGACATAAATTGCCAATTTATTTTTTGTTGCTATTAGATCAGTGGAGTTTAGCACAATTGCTCTAAGAGTAGGAAGTGATACAGAACTTTACATGCTAGCCCTCTGCCCAAATAGGAATAAAATAGTAGGCAAAGAAATGACAGCAGTAATTGTGGGAAACTGCAGAAAACTTTCAGGACTGCTGAAGGAACAAGATGTCATCTTGCAGGGTGTTACCATTTCCAAACACTGCTGAATTGGGAACAAGGACTCTGTTCAGGAACTGCAGTGACATTGTTTTTTTCACTTAGGCTAGAAGCATGTGACCCCACACAGGCTCCCCTTTTTACAGAGGGGCTTTTTCCTCCCTTTCTCTCTTACCAGAACAGATACATTAGACACCCAATTATTTACAAAAGTTTCCTGCTGCTGCTAAGTAATTGGAGGTTACTCTATCATCATTTAAAAAATACCCAATGCTGGGAAAATGCAGGCCAGTAACATCTACTGTGATGATGGCAACTCATTGCAAAAGACTATGTGTGTCTCTTCCTACACTCAAGGTGAGGTCAAAGCTGGTCACTGCTTCCTCCGGTGTCCAGCACCTGTGGAGCACGTGGACACGACCATGGAGCATATTTAGGGATCCTGCAGCCACACGCTCACTGTCCTCGATGACAGTGGCCTTGGAGTAAGTTTGGCCCCTAAACTGCTCTGGAGTTCTTACAGCTTGCACAGTGTAAGGCTTTGCATTTCAGGCTTATCTTCTGATTTTTCTTTTCTTTTTTTTTTGAATATTTTTCATTATAAACAAAGATGACTTATCTAAGGAAATTTCTGGGCAACACTTCATATATATCTTTGGGAGTCTTCATGTTCCTCCTGATTTCACTCTTTTCCATTCAAAGTTATTACAGGGATACAGATCTTGCTGCTATTTCATTTCAACAATTTTGTTGGCATGGAAACGTAAGGAGCTGTGGCTCCTTATAGCATTATGGAATATTTGGGAAAGACAGAAAGACCTGTTCTGGCAGTGATCACAAGCGGCTAATTGTTTTTACACAGCAATATTTTCAAATTAAATGCAGGATAAAAAGTTGACATGCTACACACAAAATACACACCTGGAAAATACAAATGTTGGAAAGAGGAAATAACAAATGTAAAGAGAAGATCTGGAAAAATTTCTCCTCTTTACAATTCAGAAGCCTCAGGTGGTACTGCATGAACGCTAATTGTAGTTTGCATGCAGAAATTTTCCTAGTTTCTGCCACTGATGAAGTAGTTATATTTCCTGAGTTAGATGACCATGAAATCATGTGAATGAATGATAAAGCATAATGTAGGAATCCTCTCTAGTATTATGTAGTATGATTTGTGATGGCTATAGGAAGAAGAAGAATTCAGAAACTGCTGCAGCCATGTGGTGAGAAAAATTATAATTTTGAATCCAAACTTGTTGACAATGTGATGACATTTGCCTTACTGCTGAATGTGACAATGCTGTCACTGCTGTCATATCACTCCAAAGAACTTATCTTACACCAAGAATCTCCCCAAGAGTGTGAATGGGAAAGAAAAAAAGGAAAGTCGCAGACAGGATCATTAGTTTTTCTCCTTTACTTTTGGAACTAGTATTGGCAAGCTATCCCTGGGCAGATTACCTGCCCTAAGTGTTTGCATGCTAATGGGACTGCAGAACAAGTATGTTACGAGACTGTTTTCACACTGGATGATGAAGAGTCTGCTGGACATACCCATGATGCTCAAATGTTGTCCAAGTCGCCCAAATTAAGTTTTGCTTTGTGAGCTAATTTTTGTCTGCACAAATTTTGTTCAGCCCTACTCTCAATAATGTAATAGCTAATGAAAAAAGGAGAGAAAAATCTTGACAAAACAGACCTTCTGCTATTAAAATGACAAGTCTGCAAAACAATTCTATGTATTCAGCAAATATATCTAGTGCACTTAGTACCTAAGTTACACTTCGTCATTTTAACAAAAAAAAAACCCAAGTCCTTCTTAACTTAAGGGATAATAGCAAAATAATAAATAATAAAAGTTTTGCTCACCTTAGTTGAACTTAAATGATGTATTCTGTCACTAGAATAGCTTTGGGGTATTGGAGGATCAGGGTAGTCGTCAGTGCTTTTTGATGCATTCTTTTTGATGACTTCTACATAGGAAACAGGGAAGATGCCTTGTCTGTTGGTTCCTGGTATTCTGCCTTCATACCAGTTTTGATCAACTCGCTTAAGAAGAATTACTCTGTCTCCCTGAAATGCATTACAAAAAGAAATTATGGGAAGCTGGGTCAAAGTTTATTTTTGAATCTTAATATATAGTTATATTTTCCCTGCAGTGCTACTTCCCATTAATTTTGAGGATCTTCTCCATTTTCATGGATTTATTGAGTGCCCTAAAATCACCCTTAGCAGGGCAGCAGAAGAGAAACCCAGTGCACAAGACCTGGCTGTCAAGACTGTGAATACTACAATAAGCATAAATAGGGATATTAAAAAAGACAAAAACCGCACACTATTCCTAATCCTTTGAATTCCACTTCCTGATTTTTGGATGACTTTGGGATTCATCAATCTCTTATGAATGGAAAATACACACACACACACCAATGAGTGCCAGATCAGGCTCAAGATCAGCATCAATAAACTGTATTCTTAGTCTTATTTCAAGATAAAATTAAATTACAGAACAACTGATACAATTATTCATTAAAAAACCTATAATTAAAATTAAATATGTGATAATTTAATAATAATAAAGCTCTCTAATAATATCCTTGGTCCTACTAGCCTCAAATTAAACATTCTCATGTGCAGTAATGTTACTAACAAGATAGACAAAATGCAAAAACATTATAAAAATCTAAATATTTGCAAAGACTGATACACCCATAAAAAATGCCCCTAAAACTGTTTCTTTTTCTGTATAAAATCCCTATCATGGTTCTGAAACAGTACCTTTCTGAGCGATAACTCCACATTTGTGTCTGCACTGAAATTGTATTTGGCAATAGCTTCTCCAATCTCTCCAATCTGTGTGGGGGGAGGTGGCCTGGCAGGTTGTGCTTTTTCTGGGGGAGAAAGCTTCTACAAAATAGAAGGTCAAAAAAAGGGGAAAAAAATGAAAAAAGATTTTCATCATTCCCATGTAGTTTGGGGACCTATTATCCCAACTAATCCAAGGAATTAAAACAGAGAACAAACCTCAACATAAGAAATGGGGAATATTCCAACTCTTCCACGGTGCTCACCCTCATACCAGTTTTGATCAATTTTCCTGAGGATATAGACAGTATCTCCTTTCTTAAAGGACAGCTCTCTGTAACAGATTTATTTAAATCAGATGTTTACAGCTTTATATTTGAATTCCTCTGCCTGTGAGGTTTCTGAGGACTTTACAGTACAAATCTGAAACGGGATGTAGCAACTAAACATTTGAAGAAAAGCTGTGATAAATTCACCAGTTGTTTACAGCATATAAAACAAAATGGTTTCCATTATGAATCCCAGATACTCTAGGTGAGTTACAGAAGCCTGAATTACACTGGACTTTCAAGGAGATATTGCTAGTTCCTATAAGAGCACTGTTGGTCTGTATGCAGTTCTAATGTCTTCTGGATTTCTTGTTCAGGTCAGATAACTGAGGGACAGTTGGTGTCCCTTATGAAAGAGCAGGGAACTCTACTGAAGGGCATCCCATGTCTCCATGGCCTATTTACTACCTTTTTGCAGCAGGTAGTTTGAAGTGCTTCTACTCTACAACTTTTTCACTGCACTCTGAACTATTCAGGTGCATGAAGAATACAGAATTATGTTCTTACCATTTCTGAGACTCAGAGACTGCAATGTGCTTAAAACTGGATACCAAAAAAAAGGAAATATCCCAATGATGAATAACATTTTTTCAAATCTTGACTAGTGTCTTCTCACTGTATCATCCATTTGATTTTTAAGAGTTAATTGACTGCTCCAGTAATTAAAGCTGTCATCTTTGTATCACACACAGCTTATGTAATTCTAGAGACAAAAGTCGGATCTTATCCAAAAATTTATTAAATGTCCTCAGTCACCAGGAACAACAGAAGTGGACACGCTCTCTCCTTTGACTCCCTGAAGTCCTAGTACAGGTTTCCCTATTTTCTTAATGACCACTGTGGGTTGCCTGGGCCCAGGTGCATGTCACATCATGCAGGGAGCCCTGACGTGGTACAGGAGACAGTGGGAAGGTGCTGGAGCACTAGGCCGAAAGCTGCACCTTGTGCACCTCAACACCCTTCACCATGGACAGAGAGCTCTGCCTCAGGGGTGATGCTCAGCACCCCCCGTCTGGAAGGCTGAGGTTGCACAGTCATTCCCATGCTTAAGAAATGTGATGAATAAAATCATTTAAGAAACATAAATAAAAAAATATCATCTCACATCGTCTGCTGGGAAAGCAAAATGCAAATCTTCTGCATCCATGGCATTTGTTGTTGAAATTCAGCTATGAAAGCAGCTAGCCAAGGCAAGTGCTAGATCATTCTTGAATTACAAATTCTTAAATGAACAAAAGTTTAGTACTTACTTAGAAGTCTGAGCTTTAAAGTCATATACAGCTCTAGCTGGCAGTTTCTGAAAAGCAGGCAAAATACATTCACATAGTATTACTATATGGTAAACACAATGTTTCAATTTTTAAAAAGGCGACTAAGATTAAAGATAAAGAGGACAGAAAAGCAGAGTCTAGTCTGTGAATTACTGGATACAAAGAGAGTTTACTGCTTATGCAGTACCGACTCTCAGATCTTAAATTACAAGATCAATTAAAAAGTAAGTGTTGTAACTGTACCATTACGTTCTATAACATTATCAAGTTACTAGAAAATCTTAATTTTTGGTCTATAGATATTAGCATATAATATAATAATAATATGTTGACTAATACTTGATGATTGAATACAATCCCTGAAACTTGTTTGGAGAGTGTTTCAAGGTCTAAATTTAGAACCATTCTTAAGAGACTAAATGTTTTTTGCCTATGGTGATAAATTATGTTATTTTCTGTTGTTTTTCCCATTTATACAGGAGGTTGTATGCCTAAGTCCATTTCTTCCTCCAAATCCTTAGCATAAGCAGCTGCTGTTGTGGTAAGTGCTTTCGTTTTATAAACATAAGCAACTGTGAAATACAAACATTTCTCTGTCAGTCCTGAAACTCCTGAGGCAGCTGCTTGCATAAACTTTGGTTTTCACAAGAGATTTTTTCCCAATCACACCTGCTATTCTTTGCTGTCCCACATGCCCTGCCTTTCAGTCAACCCTGAGTCATCTATTTAAACATCACTAGAAAATGCAGCTTATCTTATAAAGCTTGATATTCTCTTACTTTTCTTTTAAGGTATCAGTCTCCTAAAGAGAAAATGGATTCAGTTCCATTTAATGATACGATTATGTTTAAATGTTTCTTTGGCCTGAATCATTACCGTGTTTTATAACTAAAGCAAATTTTGTGTTGAAATGTTATTGGTTTTCCATATGGAAGCTGCTGTGCTATTTATTCTTGTTTAACTACCTCTGTTCTGTCTGTAGTTCCTCTTCTCTCCCTTGGGAGACACCGTCCCACATCAGCAAAAGCAGCAGAATGGCTTCCAGGAGATTCCTGGTCTACTGAAAACAGAACGTCATTAGATGAATCTCTGGGAAATTAAGCAAAAACAGTTCAAGTCTTTGATACTGCTCGGTTTTATTTAATGGTATCTACAAAAATATAAAGACATGAAGAGATATTGAATCTCCTATTTCACTTTTAGCAGAAAGAAAATATGACATGATAGCTAAAGTGCATTTAAAAAAAAAAAGATAGTGACTCTCAAGCGAAGGCCTCAAGGACTGTGTAGTGGAGGACCAGGAGGGCAAAGTTACATCTTGTTGTGCTAAGGAGCACATGCCTTACTGGACTAAATGGAGTGAAAGCAATACTGACACGTCATCACGTTACAAGAACCATTTCCTCAATGCCACCAATATAAACAGATTATTTCATGCATGAAACATGACTAAAGCATGCTTTAATGAAAGAACAGTGAATATTTTGTTTCCAGCACATAAAAACAACTCTGTTTTAAGATATGGAGATGGATCATGACTTACCAATCTATGTGGCAGATTTCTAAAGGACAGTTCACCAGTGTTTATTACAGGATAGTATATTATAGGATGGTGAATATATCTTTTTGTGTATTTAATAAAAATAAAATAAAAATCTTAGTCTCCATAGCCCTGCAAGTAGCCAATGTAAAATCGAAGTATAAAGCAATTATTTTATCTCCTCTTTATTCCTGAGACTTACTACTGTATTCCCCAGTGCCACAGTGATACTTGCCAGTGGAGGCATCTGATGTTTGTCTGCCTTGGACTTTATTCGCATAACCTATTGCTACCAGTGCTACAGATTTCTGAAGAAGCACAAATGGAAAAGTAGAACTGAAAGCATCTAATCTGTTATGACGGGTCTTATGGAAGGTTGAAATTTAAGTGCTCACTAGTGCCACAGGACTTGAGGCTATTGATAAATTCACTGGAGGAAAAATTAGGCTCTATCTGTTGTTAGTCACAAGCTTGTCAACATCAGCAGGGGTGCCTGGACCTCACTCCGGGTCGTGTTCTTGGCACGGCCTGTGTTTTTGAACGGTGCTCTGCGCTAACTGCACAGAGAGGTAATGCCTCCAAGCACTGCATCTGTTAAATGCCAGCAGAAAGATGTGGGAAGGAAGAGAGTGAAAAGCAGCTTTAGGGAGAACAGTTTCCTTGAACTCTTGTTTCTTGTGCCACCTATGCTTGGTAGTTGCCTTCAGTGCTCCTGTTGATACAACCTTGGGCTTTCTGCAGTGCCTTTTTTCTGTCAGAGAAGCAGAGCGGATCCAGCAAAATAGGGACCTTCACTAGGAGAGCTCCGTCGCCGAGAGCACTCTGTGGAATATTCTGATATACTGATCCACACTTTGTGGATATGAAAGTAGACAAACTATATCACTTCCCTCATACCAGGCTCCTTCATTGTCACATAAACTACCAGGAAACCAAGCTTACTCTCAAGTAGCATTTCCTTATTTTCAAAGACTAAAAGGCCTTATGCTTTAAGAAACTGTGATACTTCACCAGCACAGTTTTTGATGTTGAATTGTACACAGAAACCCCAGGAAATTTTCCCTAGTAGCCAATATTCACTGTCCTTGGTTCTCTACCCTTGTATGTGCATGTGAGAGTAGGAGAAGGGCAGTGCACCTAACAGCACCTGCTACGACAGCCCAACCTGAGGTGGAAGGGACCTCCAAGGAAGAGCAGATTCACTGTAAATATTTCTGATTTTTTAAAAGAAAGTATGCAAAGGATAGTCAAATTTTGCTCATTGATGTCCCTGTATATATAGAGGATTCCTAATAGCTTTGACTCCATTAGTATAAAGACTAACCATGATCATGCCTCAAATCTAATTCAATTTTGAATTCAGTTTTACAGTTGCTTTTTACTAAAGTCTGTTCTCACTACTTATTTTCTAACTACTTTATAAAAGGTGGTAACTGTTTCAATTCTCATTTATCTGGAAATACATATTTGCTAGTACGGCACTGGCAAAAATTACAGAAAAAGATGTTAGGTTAAAGACAAATTAGATGAGTGTGAATTACTCTATTGTAAAATTAAGATAATGAAGACACACGTTCTTACATTCAGTAAGAAAGAAGAGCTTTGCAATGTAATTGGAATCCTCACAAATGCTCTTTTATAGACAACTATATGTTTGCAAGCAGAATTCAACACAGAAGTCTTACCATTTTAAAAAATAAATAAATGACACAGGCTTTCAAAAGATATTCACCTGTCTGAAACACCTAGTGGATACCTCTGCGCACACATGCTGTAACACTAATGTGTTTTGAAATTTTAACTCAAGTAATTTTCTTTATTTTTTTTCTTAAGAAAAAGCATCAGAGCAACAAACACCTCAAAGTAGTGACTTTAAAACAAGATCACTGTCAAGACAGACTTTTAAAAAGTTATACTCACCTTGACAGTATCCTTCAAGATTTGATTATTGAGGACTTCCCTTTCAAAACTTCATAGATGTATTAAACGCTATGAGAAGAACTAGTTTTGCTGCCACAGAAATTGGAAATTGTATTGTTTGAGCTGGGAAATGGAATGTTCCTCAAATGACCTTTGTCTATTCACAAAAAGTTATAAGCACAGTAGGCTTAGCATATTTTTTGTGAGAAAGCTAAATCAAATTTCTATGCAGCTGGCAGACTTAATAGCATTTTTCTCAGTTGCGTACAACAACAATATGCAGTACAACATATTTCTGGTACAGATGTTTTTTTAATAACAAAGGGCTTCCTGCATGATGTTTGACCAACATCTTGCATTCTTTCACTTTTTGTAAGGTCTTTTTTCCTTTGGGGAAAAAGAAACAAAACATCTTTAAGGCAGGTATAGGAAACAAGGCTCCTTGCTCAATTTAATGCTGCCATTATAATTAGAGTACTAATAATCTATGTATTAGTTGGAATAATGTGTTTTTTGTCCAGATTACTACATTTTGTGAATAGACAGCAAATTTATCCACCTTAATCACTGATATAAAAATGACATCCTTTCTTCATTAAGGATTTTGTGGGATGAAAGTTTGTTATAGACCACACACACACACAAAAATATGAAATGAGAAAGGGTGGGAAATGAAGGAGTAAGGCTGGACAAGTCAATCACAAAGACAGGGAGAAAGTTAATCCACCTTGGAAACACAGTGCACTATCATTGTCCTGGTTGTTGTTGTTAGTGGCGTCCAGGTCTTGAAAAGAGGCACTAAGGGGGAATCTTCCACAATCATTCTGGTACAGTGGGCAATGAATAGCACCATCTTGAGGCAGAGCATGGAAAGGCTGGTGCATGGGGCTCTTCTTCAGAGCTTTGAGAGACGAATTCCTTTCAGGAATGTCTGGAAGCAGCTCACTAATCAGTCTGTGTAATATACTGTTGTCAGGCAAACTTCCCCTTCTTTTTTCAGCTTTAATTTGGTCGCAGATGTCTTTAAGCGCAGAATCTAGTGCTTCAAATACAGATGATTTACATTTCGTCTTTTCGGGTTTTTTTTTAGGAGCTGCACTTTTTTTCCTCCGGAAAGGCACTGGGCTGACTAGGAATGCTATCTTAGAGAGGCCAGATTCTGCTTCCTGTCTCCTAGGATCTTCAGTGGTTTCCTGTTTAGCCCTTTCATGTTTCAGCATGGTGGTGAAGCGGGTGTAGGAGGCTGGGCAGCGCCCTTTGCAGGAGCTGATGAGATGCCGGTGGTGGTGGTGGTGGTGATGGTGGTGGTGATGGCCTGATCCATAGAAGCTTTCAGATGAGGTGAAGGAGAAGTGGTCAAAGTCACTTTCACTGCAGAAGGATGAGCCCTCAATCTGGATGAAGTCGCTGAGGTCAGAAACCACTCCATCTTGGTCACTGTCTGAGAAGTCCATATGTGGCCGCTGTGGCTCATCGCTGGTCACTTCAATGTGAATTGGCACCAGAGTTTTAGACTTGCGGTTTCGTTGTACCTGAGAGGGATGTCTCCCTTCGCTTTCTTCCTCTAGCAGGGACTCTATAGAAAATCGCCGCTGTGGACACAAGCCATTCGTAGGAGGCTCTAGTGTAATAGCTGATAACATTTCATCACCTAGATTCGGCATTGATTTTGACTTCTGAATTAGTTTTTCAAATTCAGAAATCCTGGTTGGCACCATATCTCTAGGCACCTCCTCAGTAGAAGACTCCCTCCAGCCCTGAAGGATACCTTTGTGCTGTTCTTTTTCATACTGTAATATCCTCGACTTCACAGAACAAATCACCTCCGAATTCATCAAGTCCTTGCGATTGATGCGGTGCATCTTCTTATACATTTTTAGGAAACCCGGAGCATCATGTGCCGATCTGTGCCGAACCCTTGACCTACCCGTACCACGGCCCTCAGGAACATACGGGGAGGCCCAGTTCATTGAGCAAGTGTCTTTGGAGTCCTCCTCACACAAAAGAGAGCCCATGCTCTCAGACTTGGCCTGTGCGTCAGGAAAGCCGTCGTGGTCATCTGTTAACAGATCATCACAGCTGCGAGATTTTCTCTTGGGAGAAGCAGTTTCTTCTGTGCTGCTCCAGACTTCTGCATTTTGACGAGTCATTTGCCAGCCATTCTTGTAGCTGACTGCCCTTCTTGAATCGTTTGGAACAGCTAAATGTTGTCCGTAAGTGCTACAGTAATCTAATTCATTTGAGGTGTTGTGGTTGTGCACTGAATAACTGTAAAGGGATGGATATACTTTGCTAATATCCCCACCTTTATAATCCATAGAGCAGCATGGTAAAAAAGAGACATTGCCAGAAATTAAAAGGTTCAGAAAATTGGAAATAACATCAGTAAATATTAGAAAGACCAGAAAAGAGACAGCAATTAATGCATCTACTTATCAATTTAGGTCACTACACATAGGTTGCTACAGACTGGGAGAGAAGAATTAATAATCAAGCTGTTTAAATTTTCCAGCTTTAAAAATAATGATAATCTGAATATCAGAAAGAAGTCACTATAGATTTCAGAGATATCAAATCAGTAAAAATTGGGAAAAAAAAAATCCGTAAGGAAAGAACCACCAATTTTGAAGCAAGTCAAAAGACAAAGACTTAAAGAAGAAACCAAAACACCAAAACAGAGACGTGCATTTCAGGGTACCGTAATTTTAAGATAAATTAAAATTACAGACAGAAGTCAAGACCATTTCTGGAGAAAGAGCTAGGTGGTGGTTTACTATTTACTATTTTACTATTTACTATATTTACCATGTTTGCACACAACTTAGTTCTTTGGAGCTTAATTCAGAGATTCAAATACATGCTAATTATAGAAAATGTCAAAAATAGACAAAAAATTTGCTTGATCAAAAGTTTAAATCAAGCAAAGTTTTGAAAAACAGGAGCATTAGAGAATTATTTCCATGTAAATTTTTAAATATGTGTGAAATACTGATCTTTACGCTAATACATTTAAAAAGAAGCTAATAAGGACTTTTGAGGTAAGTAGTGTTCAGACGGTTGGCAGCAATCACACATTCTATTAAGACAATGAAAATAGATCTTTAAATATGATCAAATATGAAATTTCTCCCAGCTGTTGATGTGCAGCAGTGAATATACGTTTGGAAAAAAAAAAAGGCTAGGAAAGCGCATTAAAACACTATATACCATTCTACATCTCTCTTAAAACACATCGTTGGTTTCTATAGTTTCTTCCAGAAAACCTACCAAATTTCCAGATATTTTTCTCAATAACTTGCTTATCTTTTTTTGTAAAGCTCACCAGGAGCTTTGCTGGAACCTGTCATATTCTCTAGTCAGTACAGCAATTCGAATGCTTTTTTTTCATTGTGTTTTAATTTCTAGATTTTTTTTGCTTAGTTTTAGATTCTATATTTTCCAGACACAGATTGTTTCAGACCAAACTCTAATCTAATTCAATTTAGTATTGATCAATACCTAAAAAAAAACCCAAAAGCATCATATGCTTCTTGTCTGAAAGAGTGGTTCATTCCAAGAAACAGTGGCACAGCTCTAGCAGGTGTCATCACAGAGCGACAGAGCTGTTGTAGCAGTTGCCAATGGAAGGACTTCCCAAACCCAGAAAGTTCTAAGTCATGGCTAGTGCTTCCAACCAAGGGGGTAAATGTAACTTACCCACTTCTCCCTACCTTGCCTGGGATGCCAAATATATGAGATTACCCACTTCTAAAATTACCACTAAGTCACTGGGTTTAAAATACATTTGCTTGTCCAACACTTCACTCTTAATATTTCTATTTTTTTTCCTTTATTCAGTACATCCTATTGCAGCCCAAATATTGCATTTCTTTGAGAAGGGTTTGTCTTTTCCAAAGGTTAAGACAGTCCCTTATATACCTGTAGGCTGACCAGGAAGTGTACCTACAAAATACAGTAAATAAATAAATAATAATAAATGAAAGGTAAGGAAAGCTATTACAGTAGATATTATTTTATATATTATTTCCACTATGTACACTATGTATTTTCCTGGAAACCTCTTCTCTTGATTAAAACAAAACAAAAACCTGATTCAAGTATCTCTTTTCTGGAGAGACATGGAAGACATAATGGAAGGATAGGTAACTAAAACAAACAAACAAACAAAATAATTAGATTGTATGTGACGCACTAAATACTTAATGGAATTACAAAACCAAAAGTCTTAATGTCAGACTATGGACATTTGCTTGCTTAAATTAGATCCGGATAACTGATGATGACATCTAAGATATTGCTTACAGATTTAAAAGCCTCATTACTATGCAAACACATCCTTCAAACTTAAATACTATTTGCATTAGCTGACTTTCTGCATCTATTGGAAACAGTGCAGTTAGTAAAGCTTGCTTAGTTTATATATAATGCTACAATTGTATTCATTTAATCAACTTTTTCTTATAGAATGAGCAACTTATATAAAAAAATGTTTCACACATCCAACTTTTAATCAGCTTAAAATTATATAAGAATAAATAAATGTTTCATGAAAGACTGAAAGCTGTTGCTTCGAACAGCAGATTTCCTAGCGAAGGGTGGCTGCGCAGCGGCAGGCTCGTGTCGGGCTGCCCGTCGCGCGCAGTGACGGCGTCACCCCGGCTCGTGACGGCGTCACCCCGGCTCGTACCTTTAGCTCGCGCCGGAGAGGCAGGCGAGGAGCTGGTCAGAGGCTTCCTGAGGGCGCCGTAGGAGCCCTGCGCGTCGACGCGGCCCGCGCCGGGCCGGCCCGCGCTCTGGTCGCTCTGCGCCCTCTGATGACTTACGGCGGGTTCCGACTTCCTCCTTTTTCTGTAGTCGCTCGCGGTGCTCGCAGAACTGCACAAATAATCAGTATAACTCATCAGGAATAAAAAAGTAAGTCTGTAGCTATGGAGATACATAGCTATAAAAACTGTAAAATGCAGAACGGCAGACCCATCGCTGCAGCATTCCCTTTATAGATTCAATATTGCCAGAACAAATACATCACAAATATGCAAAGGCGAGAAGCACTGCTCTCAACTTTCTTACAGTGTTTCACAGAGAGAAGCTGAAATAAAGTTCGTTCTTAAATAAAATAACCTGATTGTTTTATTTAATATCTCTACATAATTTTCCAAGTCTCACTTGAGGCAGAAGCTCAAAGATGTCAGTTGAAAGACCCAAAATACAGAGTGTATTTTGAATGCAAACTGTAAAACAAAGAGTTACACTTTGGTATCAAAAGAGGAATATCGTCTCCCCGCACACCTCTCCTTTGTTGGCATTTCACAAATCACATGTTAAAATCCAACACTTCCCAACATCTAGCGGCCTCAGGAGACACTAAAAGCTCTCAGGCTGCATCATCTGTCTGCTGAAATTACCTGAGTCTACTCCTTACCTGGAGGGCCTGTCCAGGCCTCTGTCTGTTGAAGAGTGATGATACAAGTAAGTCTGTGAAAACAAATAAATGAATGCTTTATGTCTATATGTGAAATAAAAAGCTGACAATTTCCAGTTACAATGTTTGATTATTCATTTAAAACGTTACTCTGTGACAAAACCTATAGTAAAGACTGTCATATTAACATCCTGTGCATTCCAGCACACCAATACTGCAGTATTTCATGAGAAGTTATATACTTTCTGAAAAGCATCACTAGCTTTCTTTTCATTGTATATTTTGGTAACCATTGTCTTTTTTCTGAAGAACTACTAAATAAGGATCCAGAGCCTTGTTTCTTTATATCCTTTTCAAAAATGGATACAGAACAGTATGATTTACTATGAAAACATAACCAAATAAATAATTCTTTGATGCACAAGTAAGGCCTGCAGAGCTCCAGCCCAGTTACTCACCACAGTCCCACAACTGATTATACCCAGAAACTTTTTCTATCAGCGGTCAAAAGATCCATGATTTTTGCAGCAAAATGTTCCTTTGGAGACCAGTCTTCCCTTGCTTTGGAAGTAGCTACTGCACAAAGCCTAGAAGATGGAATGAACTATTGCAACTACTCTGCAATTTTACTGATGCTACAAATTCACTGTTAAAAGACCATTGATTTTAAATCAATCATCTCCTGCTTTTCAAGGCTGCAGCCAGAATTAGGCAATACTCCCATTTTGCTAACTAGCAAATGAACTGCACGGTCCCTGTGCACCTTCTTCCTGAGCACAAAGCAGCTTCTCTCAAATTTACTTTCAGTTCATGCGGTACCATTTCAGCGGGGGGCCATGGGCTGGAAGCAGAACTGCCGTTCAGCTTTGCCAGCTGCAGGGACAACGTTCTCTCCACAACCCTGTGGCAGAGGGAGCACTAGCACGGACTTCCATCAGGTAACCACGGTAAACGTGAGCCGGATCCTCCGGGCAGCTGGTGCACAGCTCTTGTTCCTCTTACTTTGGTAGACATTGTGGAAATGAGTCAGCATCAGGTTGTCACGTTGATAAACTGGATTATAGTAACTCTGGTGCTTCACTGAGAGCCAGCACCATCCCACGACCTGGTGACCAGGGCACTGGCCTGTAAGTGAAAGAGTTTTCTTCCTGGCCTATTTTGGGGTTTCTTGATATGACCTTGAACAGTTCAGCACAGCAGATCATCCCTCATTTTGTGGGAAATTCCAAAGTATTCAAATGTCTTGGAAAAAAGGGAAACTTGAGGTTTTGGTTACAACTACTTCGTTTTCTTCTGATTTGTTTTAAAATGTACAAATATTGTTCTGCTTTAATCCTGTGTGTTGAACTCACCAGCCTTCCCATCAGTTCCGAGGGAAAGCAATGCAACGGCCAGGAGAAGCTTTTCCCAAGAAATACAAGCTCCAGGGGTGATGAGTCTTTGAGAGATTTTAAATGTTCTTTCACTGCATCAGAGGCAAAGCTGGGGAAATTGCTCTGCTCTGATGAGATTCTTCCTTTTGAATCAAATTGCTCCCATCAGAGCTGAATTAGCCCACAGGCTCTAAAACTGCTTTCAAACAACAACAACAAAAGACTCTTGTAATGCCTTCCATTGTTCCATATAACGAATACTTATTTTCTTTTTTTCTTAAATTGAGAATTAAAAGGAAATGGATTCCTCTTTTTCTTATCTTTGCCCTTCCACTGCTGCATTATATCCTGAATTTTCAGACTGGGGCAACCACTGCTCTAGTGCTGGCAACCTACAGTTCTGTTCCAACGGCTACACTATGGAAGAAAGAGTGGAGCTGAAAATAAAAGCTCCAGACAGCACTTCAGTGCCGAGCTCCATGAAAAGGGCTGCTGGTCATGCCGTCCCTTCCAGCACATCCAGCACTGCCTGCAGACACAGTGGAGCAGAGGAGACGTGGTCCCCCTGGGCGCCAGCCGAGGCTGTGCTCTTGGGCCGTGCTGTTCCACACAGGGTTTTTCCCTGTTAGGAAGAACATACAAGCTTCTGGAGCACAAACAAGTTTTATCACCGCAATATATGATTTTCCTTTATTTGCTAAAGCCAAACTATTTTTCCGCAAGGAAAAGTAATTTTTCACAAGTTTTCCTAGTGAAACTGGATTTTTTAAAAGACATCTGTCATTACATTGTTCTTCAGTGATAAACAATCTAAATGTGACACCTCAAAAAAAAAAAAAAAAAAAAAGGAAAATTGTGGGGGGTTTTAGAAAAACAAAAAAAAAAAAAAAAAAAAAAAGGCAACTTGAGGGTTGGATTAGCAAAGTGAAACACAGGAATGGGTATGTGTAAACCAAAGTATTTTAGGTATTGTAACCCTACCCTGCTCACTAAAATCAAACAATCTAAACATGTGAACGTGAGCGGTGCCACGCGACCTGCTGTTGGGAAGCAGCAAAGCACCAGCTTGCTTCTCCATAGGCAGCTTCAACAGCAGCCGTTGCTTTTGGAGCCAGTTCTGTTATGGAGGATTCCTAATGGTCATTATATAATCTCGGACCGTTAGCAGCTGTCAAGAAATTATCCCTGTTTTTATTTCTCAGAATCTGGAATATGTATGGGGTTAGTGATGAGTGCGTTGTTGTTAACCCACTCTGTTTGAACAAACATGGTATTTTTAAAAATTATCTTTTGACGGAGGTCTTTACTCTTGCATCTTTCCCATTCTAAACAGTTCATGTTTTCAAGCTTTTCTCTACATCTCTGAAGCTGAATACTGCTTTATTAAGTAGAAAACAGTTCTCCCGTAAGTGTCCATCTTCAAGGTTTTAAGAAAAACATTTAAAATAACTGAGGTCTGTCTGCAACAAAACCGTAACACACTCAGCCGCTCACACCAGAGCAGCTGTAAGCGCAGCCCTCGCTCCTGCCCAGGGGAAGCAAAGGCCTCTGAGCTCCCTGAGCTTCCCTCTCCCCCCCGAAACCCTCCCAGCAGAGGTGCCCACCCTGGGGGCCTCCTGCGGCCGTAACGGCCGAGGCCTGACCACGGAGAGCTGCCTTATCCACAGGCTTCTTCCCTAAGGAAGTAATTCCCAGTAAATCCTGTTTCGGTAATCAACCTAGGACAGTGAAATTCTGTCGTTTATCCGTTGGCTATTACACAGCATTTCCCTTTCCGCCCTGTATCATACTTGTACCTTGAACTTAACGTGCCCCACCCCCTACTTTCCGTAATGCCTTCCTTGAAGCTTCCTGTGTGTGGAAGCTGCTGCAAGGCGGCACATTGCTGTGCGGGAGCGATTCGCACCGCGGGTTACAGGATCCCGCACAGGCCGTGTGGGCTGTAACTTCTACCTACAGAGCGAGCGGCGCTCAGCTGGCGTGGAAGGGAAAATGGGAACACACAGCGCACCTGAGTATGGGCTGGTTTGTTTGCTTGTACGGCCAAGAGCAGCTGTCCCAACTTCTGTGCCTTCCTCGAGCCACCTGCAAGTCACCTCCAGGTAGCAAGTGCGAAAAAATGAAAGCTACATAAGCACCCCCAGAGCATTCCACACTGCCCTATCTGGATAAGCGCTGCATGACGAAAATAATATAGAGCCTGCCTGCCCCAACAACCAAATCTGGAATTTGCTGAAAGCTTTGATTCAGTTCTGTTCAATAAAATATCTCTGTTTTTATGGTTCAGCCAGTGTTTTAGTTGCTTTCGTACATGAAGGCTTTAATGAAAATAAAGTTAGGCAAAAAACAAATGGGCAAAAGCTGTAAACAATAAGCAGGCTTGCCTGCATGAAGGTTGAATTCAATACTTTAGCAAGTTCTGTTGTAATGTTTTGCTTCCTTGGAAAAATTGTTAATTCACTTGTAATTTGCAGAATTTGCATAATACAACATATTCAAAGATTCAAGTTTCAAAACTTTTCCAATTTCAAAGATAATTTGTCTATTGAAAGACAATTGTCAAATTAAAGATGAAATTGGTATTATTTAATAATTATTTTACCTGGGCATGATTGCTCCTGATCCTACATGATCCTGAGCATGATTATAATTGAAATAACCATATACTAGGACTTTTAAATGGTTTTCTCCAAAATACAGATTACTCTTAGTATCACTGGAGCGAGAAGTTTATTATCTGAGAGAACTGCCCGATTTCATGACCACGAGGGTCTCTGGCCCAGGTAAAAAACTTTGAACCAAACCAGAACAACTTGCAATGCTGCTAACTGTTTAGGGCCTCAGTTTCAGCTTAATTCCTGAAGACACTAGGGAAGATGAGAGTGAACAGCAAATACGAATGAGGCAAAGCCACCCTATGAAGTGGAGGTGTCATTACGGGAGTCACTGACTTCTGCCCTAACACTCTAAACAGGGGGGAAGGAGAAGGAATGAAGGCCTGGATCGCTCCCCACTCAGAGCGGGGCAGGAAGCGCCCACTGCCCCATCTTGATGCATTTCGTTCAGAGTAATGGCAGTGATTCTCAATTCTGCAGTTACAAATTTCTAACATGAGAAATAATAGCTCAGCCATAAAGGCTTTCACTTGACATACAGAATTTGCAGACAGATATTTTAAAAATATATTATTTGTGACAGTGCATTAATTGTATCTAAAGCCAATACGCTTGCCCAAATCTGAAGAAGTGGGAGTTTGTCAAGAGTGAGAGACATATGGTCTGTCGTGCAATTTTGAGTGTTAATCACTGAGAGGTTTGGGGAATATGGACTCACAGTTCCTAGGATAATAAGAGCAACATCCATTTGTACTAGTGATCTGGAAAGATATGAAGACAGAGACACAGTGATTGTGAATTGGAAATGTTTCAAGGCTGCTGGAAAGAAATGAGTGCATTTTAACAAGTTTAGGAACAAATGACGAGCTCTCCAACCCTTTTTCCCCAAGAGATTCATCTGAAAAAGAATCATTCATTTACCTCATTGGAAACACCAGGAGAACTGTCTTGAACATAGTCCAAAAGTTTTTTGGGTGGCTGCATCATATAAGCAGAAGTGCAGAGATGAAATGGAGGAGAATCAATGGCAGCAAGGAGTGAAACATGTGGAGAAGGTGACACAGT